GCATCCTACGTGCTCTCTATGGAGGATTTGGAACAGCATCTAGTGTGGCTAAGAAGGCCAGCATCTAGTGTGGCTGAGAAGGCCAATTTGAGAGTGACAATCTATTCCACACTGAAGACAAATGCAATCTGTCCCCTGTCCAGCTCCCTGGTTTTGTTGCTTTCGTGACTGCCTCTTTGCCTCAGCCTGCTGAACGAGTGTCTCTTCAAATTGGGAGAGGCCATGATGCAACGCCTGCCTCCAGGCTGAATGCTCAGATGTCAAAGTTTCCCATCTATTGAAGTCCATTCCTAAGGCCTTCAGATCCCGCTTGCAGATGTCCTTGTATCACAGCTGTGGTCTCCCTCTGGGGCGATTTCCCTCCATACAGGAGTTCTTTTGGAATCCGACCATCAGCCATTCTCACGACATGCCCAAGCCAACATAGATGTCGCTGTTCTACTGAATAGATCTGTTCTATTCAGTAACTAACTGAACTAACTTGGTTGCATATCTGTGAGCAGAGGAATAGAAGTGAGCCGTCCTCACAGACATCCAAAGAAGAAGAGTGTGAAGGATGTGCCATAGGGGAATTGATCAAGTTGGATGATGATGAAAGCACGACCAACAAAGCAATAGAGGTTTTTTTAGCAGAGAGGTCCAGAGACTGGGGGGAGGAGTTAGGGACGTGGAGATGGGATGACAATATAAAAGAAGAGGGGGAGAAAAAAGAGAGCAGTTCAGAGGGAGTGAGCAGGGAGACACAAACGGTGGAAACGGGAGTAGAAAGGGAGCAGATCGCGACCCTTGTGAAGAGTTTTCCAAATCTGATGAGAGAAGATGGGTTGTTGTCTCTTCCCAAGGAAATAGACAAGTGTGGAGCAGGTGAGAGGAGAAGGGAATGGAGGCAGGAACCAGAGTGTAATTTCCCGCTTTGGGGCAAAGAAACAGTGAGAGTTAAAGATGTGGGACCTGGGGCCAAACCCAAGAAGTACAATCTGTTGAATGACGAAGAGTTGCCGGACCCGTTTGGTCCTGGATTGTTTAATGTTAATGTTAATAAAACGAATCCTTTTATAACGACAACTTTGACTCCGACTGTCCTTCCCGCCGAATCCCATGCCCAAGCCAACATAGACGTTGCTGTTCTACTGAATAGATCTGTTCTTTTCAGTAACTAACTACATTTAGTTCTTGGTTGCGTATCACAATACATATTAGTTCATTCAGTATTTTTTCCCCTCTATCATTGTTCATTCAAAAGCTCTTGCTATAATTTACATATTCCTGTTCAGTTTTCGCCCACTCTAGACAAAGAACCCAATCACAGTAACACAATACATACTATTAGTTCATTCAGTATTTTTTTCTCTATCATTGTTCATTCAAAACCTCTTCCTATAATTTACATATTCCTGTTCAGTTTCGGATTCATTTTCCTCTGCAATACCCATTGTTTTGGTAATAATTCCCTTCCTTTTCTAAAGATATCAAGAAAGATTCATATCCAAAGGCTGTTATGTGCTGTCAAGTACGTTCTGACTAACTGCAATCCTATGAACCAGTGGCTTTAAAAGGTCCTGAGTCCTGCTCAGTTCTTGCAAAGTCAAGCCCGTGGTTTCCTTTATTAAGTCAATCCATCTCATATTTGATCTTCCTTTTTCCTTGTTGTTGGTGAGTTTACAAAAATATGGTTTTATAATCCAATGAAAGGTTAGAAAGGTCATTCCCATGGGAGATATCATAGCAAGGAATCTCTTTAACAGCTAGAACCATTTCACACCTTGAACCTCTGCCATTAACACTCTATAATGAGGAACAGTGATTTAAGTACATATTAGAAATCATTTTTGGTAGTGGCAGAAGGGCGGGGGAAGAAGCTTCTGACTTTGACTCCACTGATATTTGGCTATTTATTTTTCTCTTTTTTTGAAAAAAAAAATTGTACTAGTAACCTGACTTTGGCATTCAGTTTGAATAAAACTAACAGAACAACTTAAAATCCATAATATAATTCCAAATCCTATAAGTACATGGTACTCAGGTGTTTCTCAGGCATGGCTGCGGACGGCTTACTACGAAAAGAGCTGTTCTGGCATCCACATGAAAGCAAACAAGAATTGCTCCCAGTGTCCTACTCATCACAGGGAGCGAAAAGGGCCCTGTGGGATCCAGAGGGGTCAAAGGAACCGCTACAAGATTCTCACACATAAGATGTTTCTGCCTCCACAGATCGTGCTCCAGGGAGAATGCAAATCACCCATTTTCATATCTCAGAAATGTCTGCTCCCATGGAAGGAGAAGATACTGGAAAGCAAAAAGAAACCGCAGACAGATGCTGCTAGCAGCAGCAACAGCTCAGCTTCTGGCCAAACTACAAAATCAAGGAAGGCAACTTGGGCCACATAAGAAAGTCTGGAACTTCTAAATGGACACAATTATTGTAGCAGAGAGGCAGCTCTGCCAAACATTTCCAAATTCCATCTTTTAGAGGAAGATCTGGAAGCTGAGGCCAGGGCAGTTTAATATGTTAAAAATGTAATAACCGGATTATTCACAGGAAAAAAAAAAAGATGGAATTTGAGGCCTAGCCCTGCCAGGCCCAGCCTTTCAGTTGCTTCCAAACTGAGGGAATTGGAAAGGGAAAAAGACAACACCTTCAAATAAAGAGCAGCTCATGGTGAGGGACCTGGTAGAAGAGGGCCTAGTTTAAAAGGGCAAAGCAATTCCTTTCTCTCCCTTCACTTCAGTCCTTCGAAACCCATGCCAAATGTAGGGAACACACAGCAACATGACGAAAAGAAAGGGCCTCAAGCCCTCTTCTTTGGCATCTAATTGAACCAGCAGATGAAGGCCTTAGTGGAATCAAACAGTCCACACACTGTAGACTAACTTTTCTCACACAGGCCTCAGCCATGTTGGATGGAGGTGACACCATATCTCTGCTCACCAAATGGTGGAATGCTTAACGGTGGAAAGAAATGTACGGAGGGCCTCTTGTGAGTGATTCCCAAAGTCTCATACTCTTTAAAGCTAGTAAGGCAGCAGGTGAAGCAAAAAAGGCACCCAGCCTTCCAAAATCAGGGAGAGCAAAGGTAATTACCGGTAAGTCTCACCGAGAGCAGGCCCGGAGAGAAGGTCTCCTCACCAGTCCATTATTGAACCACCTTCCACTAATTTAGATCAATTGATTTCTAAAGAAATATCTGCTACCATGGAAGGAAGCATAATTTCTAAAGAGGGAAGTATTAGAGGCTTAGGACTCCAGCTACTGATCTGGAAATCCCATTCTCTAGCTCCAGATGTGAGATATTGGGAAGCATTACATGGTTACTCAGTAGTGAAGGTAAGAAACACAAAATCAGAGGCACTCTCTTTACTTCACATATTTCCATAGTTATACCCTTGTGTTGAAAAGACAGTGTGTGTGTGTCTGGTGGGGAGAACTGTCTCAACTGACACCTTGAATGCCTGGGCCACATGATCAGGCTCCAGAGGCTTTGACAGGAGAGAGCCCTTATTCTTTGTTTCTCACAAGTAAAGAGAGTCCAGATCATAACCCATCTTTGTAAGGACTATGAAGGTTTGCCCCATTCTGGCTTAAAGCCTCAGGAAGAAACTTTAGCATGATATTAATAAGGTAATGTACTGCAACTTTAAGAGACTGCTACACAGGCTGTTGTTTGGGGAATCAAGTCAAATGAATGAAAGCATCCTCCCCTCCAAGCAATCTTTAGCTTGATTGGAAAGATATGCTGATGGGGCAAACAACTGCCCTCTTGCTCCAAGAAAACCCAGAAGAGGTTTGAGACATTACAACTGAAAAGAAAAGTGGCAGCCATTATGAGAGACTTAAGCTTTTCCCTGGGGAGGGACAGCTTCTTTGCCCTAAGCCAGGAGCTTAAGGGACTGTGAAGATATTTATACACAGTAAGCAGATGGAAATCCAGATTCTGCTTTGTGCTGGCCCAAGCTTCCTTATGCCCTACCATTTCCCTGCTGATACCAGGAAAGCCAAACTCTAGTAGCCTCCTGTCCTCTTATGCCTCCCTCCATCTGTCTCTTTGACTTTCAACACTTTGTAGGTCAAAAGGACCTCAAGTTATTTGATCCCTTTCTAGGCACCAGGCCAGCACACACAAAAAGAGAGAAATATCCCTGGGGTTGGCAGGGTTTGCATACTAATTCCTAAGAAATTAACCAGCAGATCCTGATATAGTAAGAACAGGGAACCTGCATTTTTACTTCTAGGCAGAGAAAAGACAACATTGTGCATAGACTTAAACTTCATTGGTCCAAAAAAAAAAAAAAACTGGTGTAGCATAGCTGTATTGCTACCTAGTTTGCAGCATTTTGGATATCTTGCTTCTCAATCCCCACTGGAGCAATACAGTTTTTTTAAAATCGCATATATATACACTTTGCAGTATATATATATAAAAATCGATCCATATATGCATCCAGGAAATAAGTATTCACCCCTCCCACCCTGTACCAAAGAAGATGGCTCTACGCTTTCTGTTTGCCTTTACGAAGTTTCATTTTGTGGTCGCTTCTATTCCGGTTTTCCAACCTTTTTCCTTGATACCGAAGCTGTCCGCCTGGCAGCCGACCTTCTTGCAGGCAGAAAGCCACCGCCAGCAAAAAGGAATGTGAATCCGTGGCTGCATTTGTGCTTTCACATGAATTCCTGTGGATCAGGTCATTAAGTCGGGGTGTGTGGAGGAGGGTGGAGGGGGTCGGTCAACGGAATGACAATCCAACAAACGCTCTTGAGATCCTTGCTAACAATAGCCACTGCTGGCCAGGGCACCCACATTCTTATTCTCGGGCACACGGCGGCTCTTTCCTTGCAGGATAAAGGGGTGGGGTTGTTTTGGCGGCTAACAAGTGAGTTTGCAGCAGTGGGAGAAAAGGCAGCTCCCGGCGGGGAGAGAAGGGCAGGGTGGGATCGCACCACAAAAGAAACCACTAGGGGAGCTGCAGAGAGAAGGAGGGGAGGGTGGCCGTCCTTTTCTTACCTACATCTGCATTGCAAAACGCCTGTTGCGGATGCACCGGAGAGCAGCTGCAGGCGTCGGCGAGGCGGTCCATCCTTCCCAGGAATAACACGGCCAGCGAGGCCAGAAGGCTCGGGAGCGTAGCACTCATCTTGGAGGACAAGGAGGGGACGGTCGGGCTGACGAGATTCGGCTGCTCAGGGCGCCTGCCGCTTCATCCAGAGGCGCGCCCGCCCGTCCGCCCGCGCACACACCCGCACACAGGCACGCACTCACTCAACCTCTGGGTCTCCGGCGACCCCCAGGGGACTCGTGGCGCTTCAAGCCACAGCCAGCCTCGAAAGTTTGGCTTCCCGTCGGCCCTTCTCCCGGAGTGGAGTGGGGTGGGGCGAGTGGGGGGGGGGACCTGAAAGAGGGTCCCGGCGTTGGAAGACTGGGAGCCCCGCAGACCGTAGCTATGCTTCGCTGCTTCTGCGGCCGCTGCTGCTGCTGCCTTCTAGGGAGGTGTTTTCTTCAGCTAAGCCTGGCTTTTTAATGGGCTCTGGGGATTCGCTGCCCCTCCTCTCCGTGGCACCGGGCCAGAGCGGGCGGCTCGCCTACTCCCCGTCAGCGCTCTTGCGCGGCTCTCCCTTCCTTCGCCTCCGGCCCCGGCTCCAGTCGGTTTTCTACAATCCCTGCGCGGGCTTTCTTTGCTTGACAGCTCCCGCCCTTCTCAGTCTGGAGCTCGCCGCTTAAGAAACACCAGCCATAGGAAGCCAACCCCCTGTTCCTCTAAGCAGCACCAGCATGCTTGGTGCTCAAGAAGTGTGTGGTGTCTTTTTTTAAAAAAATAGCAGCAAGGATTGTGGGAAGGGGGTACTATGTGGTGGTAGCGCCCTGAGCCGAATATCAAGCCCCGGGTTCACCAAATAGCTCTTCCCAGTACCGGTGGTACCAGTACACCATTTATTATACAGAACGACCTGTTTCTACCTCTCTTGGTCTTTCTCCTCAAGCCCGCGGATGGGGAGGGGGCGTTTCCCAGCAGAAATCCTCTTTGAGAAGGGAGGGCCTCGGTTGCATTTCAACAATGGGTGGGGGCCACAGTTCTTTTTCGTTAATATTTTTATGGCTTTCTCACCAGCTCAGTTCTAGCCATGTCCACTCTGAAGCAAGGTCCAGTACTACAGCTTTCTCCAAGAGAGAGAGAGAGAAACCGCTCTTCTGTGCAACAGGTTGCCAAGCTGCATGCAAGAGCCTCCTTCTCTGCGGCAGCTTCTGGGTTGTGCAAATCGAAGCTCAATTTCCACAGAACGCAGTCCCCCAAGGCTAAACAGCTTCTTATCGCTGATCATGGTAGGAAGCAGGTTTCAAAGAGGTAGCCATGTTTTAATCTGTTTCCGCATGTATTAAGCACAAGAGTTGTGGGGCTTTGAAAGACTAACAGATCTATTTCAGTGGGAGCTTTCCTGCATTACAATTCACTTTTTCAGACACAGAGTGTAATAGACTACAGGGTTATATAAACACAGGACATGACAGAGTAGCCTCAAGGAATAGTGATTAATTGTTCTTTTCCCTATCTTCCTTGGTCCCCTCCCACCCTCACACATACAGAGTATATAAAACTGTGGCCTAACTACAATGATCTGTGTATCTGAGGGAGTGAACTGTAATCCAAAATAATTTACATTGAAGTAAATAGTCTGTACAGCCACTACTCTTCTGTTTTTGTGTCCGTTATACAAGCAAAAGAAATTGTTAGCCACAAGATGAAACCCTGAGGAGTCAAAAGTTTCCTTTCCCTGCCTTCAATTTCACCATAGTTTCAGTCAGCAAACCCAGACTGAACCAAGAGTGGCTGGTTATATTCAGAAATCCTCCTTTTCAAAGATCACTCCTTGAGAAAATGATTAATTAATCAGACTTAGTGATATTTCCCCTAATCCTAACATCCAGAAATAAAGGACTAGTCTAGTAGTGAGCAAGGATCTGCCTCTGGTTTAAGGTGGTGACGTTAGGTGCCCAGTGCTAATTGCCAGAAGAACTCCAGAAGTTGTTCAGATACAAAGGTGCTGGAAGTATAGGGAAATGCATTGTTATTTTTGTAGAGCCCATGCCTGTATCTGCCACATTTTGACTTGCCACATTCTCTGTTTTTAAGATGTAGTGGGCAACTCTCAAGGGTTCTTGTTTTCTTTAATACATCTAAAGAGGTTGAACAACAGTTGCAGCTCTCTAAACGTTGGTGGCCTACATTTGCCATTCAGTCTAACCGACGAAGCTGGCAATAAAGAACTATGGAATTGCAGTTCCAAAACACCTGGAGAGCCACAACACCCATCTTTGCTCTAAGTCATTTTGTATGAAAATGCTCAGAAGGAGAACTCTCTGTGTCCTAACTTCACGGCCTTCTCGTGGAAGTTCATGTGTGGGTCCTGTCTTGCCTTTCATCTATGCCACCCTTATTTCTAAACACTCCGCAAAGGTTGTTCCTTTGACACCTCCAGTATAATCTCGGAAGGATTACAGTGCAGCATCCTCAGAATGTCCTGGAGATACAGAAATATGCAATAGGCACATAGAAAGCATCTGCCCAGAGTGTTTTGACAATGTTAAGGGTCAGGAAGCCAGGCTGGAGGCGGGTCCTGCTGATGGCCAGGGAGTGGAGCCGGCTGAGTGCCCAGCAGTGAGTCATGGCTGTTGGAGATAAATGGAAACACATGTGCAGCCGTTTGTGGGCTTTATTGCTCACAGCACAGAAAGCATGGACACTTAGTAAACACAGGCCAAGGGCTGGTCCACTCCTCAAATTCAGACATCTGCTGTTCCCACACCCACTTTGCAGAAACCCAGGCGTAGCGGGCAGGGTGCTCTTCTAACCAAATCAGTATTGGCGCAAGACATTTTGCTGACTGGGCTGGAGCCTCCCTTCCCCCACCATCATTAGGGACAACCCTTAGTAAAGCTTTGCTTCACCATTCAGACACAAATAAATGTCATTGTCGGTCCCTGTGCATACATGCCCCACCCCCAAAATGCTTGGAGCCAATAGCATTGGCTAACTGATGCAGTCTTACCTGCAGACTTTACCAAGTAGGTTCACACAATGAGAGTCTAGCTTGTCATTGCGTGACATTAATGCTAGAGTTTGCAAGGTTTACCTCATCTGTACATGACAGACAGTACACATAGTAGTACAAATCGTGAAGTCAAAAACATTCTGTAAATCCCAAGTAGGTAACCTGTTGATGCTTTAGACCAGTGGTCCCCCACCTTGGGCATCCAGTTGTTCTTGGACTTCAACTCCCAGAAATCCTGGCCAGCAGTGGTAGTGGAGAAGGCTTCTGGGAATTCTAGTCCAAGGACATCTGGAGGCCCAAGGTTGGAGACCACTGCTTTAGACTACAAGCCCCATCATAATTGACTGCTGGACATGTTGGCGAGAGTCAATGATAGCCCTACGTAGTCCAAGTAGAGCAGTGGCTGGAGGGCTTTAGATTCACCAGCTCAGCTATAAATAAAAATACCTGGCCTCTCTGCCTCTGGCATAGGAAGGTATTTCATTAACAGGGAAAACAAGTGAAACAAACCACCTCACGCATTTCAGGGGCCAGTCAAATTAGGGGCATCTATTTGTGTCACAATGTTTTTATTGTAAACATGTGTTGTGGTCTTTCTAATGGGGGACAAATCTGTCTGTATACCCTTTCCTTGTTCCTTTCCCCTATGCCAGTTCCATACAGACAATTGACTATGATGGTTACTGTGATCCTCTTATGCTATGCATGCATCCTATAGATAAGACACAATTTCTACTGTATTGAGGGAGGAGATGCGTTTGAAAAATTCAGTGTGCTTGCAGCTTTTGCTTTTGGGAACTTCCATTGGGAAGCAACACTGATGTGGGAGGAAGAGAGGAAAGAAGTAACAGAAGAAAGATGGATGAAGATGGCTCAGAGAGAAAGAAAAGCTTACCTTTTCCACTGATCCACTGCTGCCTTCAGTCCTGCCCACTGCCATGTGTGGCCCCAGCATGTTTCCCCTCAAGAGAATGTGGTTGTAAACAGGAGAAAACAAGTTTACTGATTTCTGTTACTGCACTTTATTCATTGCTACAGAGAGCCTTTGTTTTAATCTTGGTTAATTACAGAAATGCAGTGCCAGACTAGCAGCTGTAGTGTGGTAGAGCAGGGATCCCCAAGCCCCGAACCATGGATCAGGACCAGTCCGTGGCCTTGGAAGGACTGGGCCATCAAGACAGATTTTCGAGGGCTGAATGAATTTGTCCATATGTGTGTATGCACACACATGTGACAGGTTTAAGATAAACCTGGAGGAATTGTTGAATACAATTTTGTACAATGAAATAAGTGTTTTTAAGAATCAGTGCTGTAGAAAGAAGTAAGGCTAGAATTTATACAGCTGAGTTAATTGTAACAGCTGAGGAAGAAATCCCAGGATTGGATAACCCTGGCATAAAGCTAGCAGACCTAGCACACACACTCTGTTGGTGTCATTGGTGTAGTCCTGGTGCTGTGCTGGAGTATCCTGGAAGAAGCTGTGTCTTTGTGCTGTGTATTAGAAGAAGAACTCTGGCTAGTGGACTGAACATATGGTATTTGACTGCTGAACTAATTTATAAGGACTTTGACTCTATGCGTTGAACTCTGTGGAAACTGCTGTGTATGACTTTGGGACTGGAAACAAGGACTAAGCTGTACATGTATGTATATATCCTGTAAATAACACAACTATTCTGCTATCAACACTGCTTTATTGCTTGGCATCTTCATCTCTCAGGGAAGTTCTTTTGGTTAACGCCACCTGGTGCATCCTGGTAATACCACAACTCTTTCAACATGCACACTCCTATCTGCATGCATGCACCCACCCCCCCAATGGAGGGACACCCCCCACCCCCCACTCGCGGTCCTTGGAGAATGGTCTTCAACTAAACCGGTCTCTGGTGCCAAAAAGGTTGGGACCCACTGTGGTAGAGGGAACCTATAATAAGAAGTGATAATCAGATCCTTGATTTAGATGTTCTAAGTTAAACATATTTGGGTATGTGTGACAAATGTTTATCTCAATACCTGAAAGGAGGACAAAAAACATGAACTGATCTTGAACTAGGAACACTCAAAAATTTAAGCCCTGGTGTTTTGAAAAAAAAAGTGGAATGTTTCCTCACTATATTGTCACAAGATGAGTGCAAAGAAACTGAGAATATAGAACCTGGAATCCATTGTGAACATTCAGGCTTTCCTGTGTGTGTCTGGGAAGCTGGCCAAGTGCCTTAAGAGTCAATGTTGGCTTGGTAAGGAGGAGGCGTAGCACCTGCAGCTTATCTCTTGAGAAAGCAGCCTTCAAGGCCAGACCCAGACAGTTCCCTGGTAGAGTGCTAAGTAGGAAAATGACTGGGGTGGGGGTGGTTAGGGTCAGAAGGTGCTGCTTGAACGCTAGAAGGAATGCAAAATCTGGTGGTTAATCTGGACTGATCTAGAACAGGACATTTAATGTATAGAAAAAGGTTCAGTCATTTCTTTAGTTGGCTTAGCTTGACTCTTAGGAGATGCTAGGCTCAGTTGCTGTTCTGTTGTGGTGTATACACTCTATGTGGCTAAGAGCTATGCTGATTTCTGCACTAGTCTGTGAGTCTTGGGCCAAAGAGTTTTGCTTTTTTTTCTTTTGCTTGTTTGGGGGGGGGTGGTTTCCTCTTGGTTGCCTTAGCTTTGTTTCATAGTACTCTTTGCCTTAAATGTAAACGTATTTCAACTTTTTTTTTCTTTTTTCTGTATTTTTACTCTTTTTATAAAAAGATGATAAACGATCCAATTGGCTGAGTGTCTGCAGTACTGAATCCAAATCTTGCCTTGACTACTTCTGGGAGTTATTGTTCCTTTGTAAGTGTGGTGGCAGCTCTAACTTAAAAGGTGAGCATACTGTTTCCAAGCGCTAAACCTTCTGAATCTTTGGATTCCCTAGAAGCACTGTCAAGTCTGGAGTGTAGGGAGGTGTAGGTGTGAGGCTGGTTCTGTTGTCCTTACCCCAACTCATTCTCCCAGGTTTACTCATCCCAAGGCTAACAAGGTGGTGTGGCTGAATGGCTGTGGAAGGGTCTACTAGACATGGGCAGGGGACATGGGTCTTCACAATGAGAATAACATGCAAACACAGCTGATATTGCTAGAATATACAGTACAGCAAAAAAAAAAAAGGCTTCTGTGTTCCGCTTTGTAAGAGACTGATGACTACTAAGATCTTGTTCCCTTCAAGGCATATGTGAGAATCCAGATTTTCTATGTTGTGGTGTTCCTTTCCAGTCTGAAATGCTGACAGTGCTTATTTAGCAGCATCGTACCTGAACAATTCAACTGCTTTTTAAAAGAATGATCCTGTTCAGGAAATAACAAATTTCTGGCATATTGCAAACAGGCTCTGAGGTTGATACAGAGACCCCTTTAAAGCTGGAAAGAACTACCATTGCTCCCACAGGGAAACATGGAGCCCTCATAATAAACCAGAAAATGAGGGAAGAGATCCCAATGGCCTTAAAAACTGCTTTGTGATAGCACAGAATCAGACTTGACTGTACTGACTGGGAGGTATTGAAAGTTGTTCACAACAGTAACTTTTTAGAGTTCTGTATGGATTCAGGAAGGACTGGGAGGAAAGAGATTGATACATGTTGAGAGATATCTTCCCACAGGGTGAAGATTTGAAATGGTTCACAGGTCAAAGATAAATGGCACAATATCCCACTATGGTGGTTCCACATTCACCACATATTGCATGTCATATGTTTAGAAGTTTGTTTCGATCTACATATATCTCAGATACTAAATATTAAATGAGAAGATGCTGGACTAAACCTATGAATAACAAAAAACAATACACCTTACCGAATGCATGAATGCTAAAGAGTGTCTCCTACCAGGACAAAACTCTGGATGGACAACCTGGAAGTCATTTAATAGACTTTGAAGTGAAGTAGGAACAATTAATAATCAAATAAAATGGGGTTCCTTTGACGAATAATCAAATAAAATGGGGTTCCGTTGATACAGGTCAAATTTCCTGTCACTGTGGGGAAATTCAGTCAACACAGCCCTTATGTGCATGCAATTTATTCCCCACCAAGTGTACAAAAGAAGATCTAGCAAATGTCTAATGCTATTGAAACAGTCAACGTCCAGTCAAAAATAGTTTTTATCTTAAAATTTTAATTTGTTTTTAACTTTACCAATGTTCCATAGGTAAAGGTAAATGTTCCCCTTGACATTTAGTCAGTCGTGTCCGACTCTAGGGGGCGATGCTCATCCCCGTTTCCAAACCGTAGAGCCAGCGTTTGTCCGAAGACAGTTTCCATTGTCATTTGGCCAGTGCGACTTAGGCACGGAACGCTGTTACCTTCCCACTGAGGTGGTACCTATTTATCTACGCGCATTTACATGCTTTCGAACTGCTAGGTTGGTGAGGAGCTGGGACAAAGCGATGGGAGCTCACTCCGTCGCATGGATTCGATCTTACGACTGCTGGTCTTCTGATCCTGCAGCACAGAGGCTTCTGCAGTTTAACCCACAGCGCCACCACGTCCCCAATATTCCATATACATCCATAATTTAAAATTGTGCAATACTTTGATATGAAGAACGAAAAATAAGTTTGCAAGTACATAAGTCTTCTTACTGATTTTCAGCAATTTATCACATCTGTGACAAACGCGAAGAGAAAGATCTCATTATTTTATAAAAGTTTATTGAAATTAGCCAAATACTCCACTAAATGGATTAAATATATGTGAGAACAGATTTTTCATGAGATAAACACTGAAAGCCATTTAAGGGTGCAATCGGGTGGTGAGAAAGGGTCATATCTGATCTCACGGGAAGGGTCAATTTGCTGGGAGTGATGTCCCTTACAGCGATCCTCCTGTCTGTCAGGGAATCAGTCCAAAAGAAGAGTCGCCCTGTCACTGGACCAAAAAAAAAATCCAGCTTGGGCATGGATCAGGGTCAGGGTGGAGTACTTTTGCCCATTAGTTATGCAATCATGGGGAAATAATGCTAGAATGTGCCACAAATGGTCCAAAATGCAAACTATTTCCCCATCTAATTGCACAGCATCAACAATGACTACTGTCACTGGTATTTCCTATTTTTGCTCGTTGAGACAGACTGATGACATTACTAGCTTATGTTTATCAAACCCCGCAGAAGAAAAGTAAACCAAACTGTTTAGGAATTCACAAATAAGAAATCAATCATATAAAAGGGAGGGCATGTAAAGTCAGCACATAATCCTTTTTTGAACTGAATGCAGAACCAACACTTTCTGCATTCAAGCCCTCGAGAACTAATTGGACAAGATGCCAAAGAAGTCCGCCACAGCAGCTTGTGTTTGAACTAGCAATAATAATGAGCTTCTAGTAACTTCTCAACATAAGAGCCATAAAACATATACAAGTGCAGTTAGCAGAGTATTCTGACCTTTGCGCATGTGCAGCCAATGCTAAGGATATTTGTACACAGCACACATAACCCTATGCACTAGATGTCAGCCAAAGGACAGCCTCGCTTCAGGCAGCCAACGTTCCAGGTGATATTCCCACATGGCAATGCCAATAGTTTATCCCTTGAAGTGTGTTTAGGGTACCTGTGACTTCAAACAGCAGCTTAATTTTATGTGGAAAAGTGAAAGATATAACTATACTGTATTCTGGAACTGCATCAAGTGATTAAACAAGCTTGGTAAGTCAGCCGATTAAGAGCACCAGATGCTAAGTTGCTTATAATGTGCATGTTTGTGCTGAAGTGCAGCTACACAGGGTGCAACTACACGGTTGAAGTCAATCGAGAGTGGGTGCAGGTTTTTAGAAATCCATTTAATGTCATGTGTTTATTGTGTCGGCGTGTGCATCCTCATGGAACAACTTTTAGTCCAGTTGTAAGTTGTGTGGTACATTGGCACTTCAGTTTTCCAAGTCCCAGTTTCCCTTGTTTTCTCTCTGTACCTGGAACTTAATTCTTCACCTCGACTGTACCTTATGCCTTTCTTGAGGCACAGCTTGCCTGCCTTGAGACAGCTGATGCCAGCATCAGCAGCCTACAACACAGCCCACAACTACTCTAACAGCTGTCTTTTAAAAATCCTCATTTCTAGACTAAATAATGTTTTTTAATATTTAATTTTTAAATATACTGTACTGTATTTTTCCGTGTATAAAACAAGACTTTTTACTTAAATAATTAGACCAAAAATTGAGGGTCGTTTTATACACGGCAGGCAGCCGCTTTCCCTGCCTTTTGCAAAGCCACAGAGTAAAGCAGCCGTGAAAGGGCAGCACCCCCGCACCCCTTTGATCCTGAAGCAGCCATGAAAGGGCATCAGGATCAAAGGGGCCGAGCGTGCTGCCCTTTTATGGCTGCATTACCCATTTCCTAAGCTCTACAGGGCTTAGGAAGCAGGAAACGCAGCCGGGGGAAAGGGCGGGAGGATCAAAGGGGCACAAGCATGCAAATTTTCTAATTTGAGGGTTAGAAAAGGGGGGTTGTCTTATACTTTGGGTCGTCTTGTAAATGGAAAAATATGGTAAGTTTGTCATCTTGTAAATGGAAAAATATGGTAAGTTATGAAGTGGCATAGCGCTAAATAATACAGTGCTGAAACACAGACAGAAAGGGGGCGGGGAGGGAGGACGAGTATGCTGCAGTCCAAAACCCATTGTACTTGGCACTCATAACTTGGCAAACCTCATGAACCCAATTTACTCCAGCACAGGTGACCATGCATGCCAAAACTAGTAAAAAAAGAAGAAAAAAGAGTGTCCAGAATTGATTTAAAATAAGCAATCTTTATGTAGGTGGTTTTTTAACCACTTTCTGGTTTTTTAAAAAAATCATGCTTAACTGTCACTCATGTAGTTGGAGATTTTCAATTCACTTCCACGCATGCCAAACCCAATGAAAAAACAGTTATACTTTGATGTGTGGTTAAGCCCTAATCTCACAAAAAATAAAAAAATAAAAAATGACCTTGCTTGCTTAGAATTATATAATATAATAGCTTGGAGAGGTTGACTTAACAAAGAACTGAAAATAATTTTAACAGCAAGCCACGTTAAGTTATAGTTTGCCTTTTGCTTTATTAAACTGTTACAATGCATTTTGTCAATACAAATTATAAAAGGAAATGAAAATAAAGTCTTTGAACATTTATAGCTCGCCCAATATCACAGGATCTCAGGGCAGGTTACAAAGCTACATAAAACAATTTTAAAACAATTTAAAATAAAGCAGCCCAAAATTAAAGCATTCAACATTAAAAACACCGCCAGATGTGCCTGACTTTGCATCTTTGCAGGGATTTTCCTTTCAGCCGTGAGGAGGGGCCTGGTGTTTTAGGCATTCAGCTTGTAACTAGGACGTATGACTACAATAAAGCTAGAATGGCTGCTTGGGCAAGGGAAGGAGGCAGCAGGGTCAGCATTGGGGACCACAGCTGTGCCATTTATGAAGTCAAGAACATTTGTGACATAAAATCCCTTGCAGAGGACGAGCACTTTGTTTTCATACTGGATGGTGTCATCTGAAGAATCTCTCTGTTCGAGATGGAAAAGAGGGAAACTGTCCGAGGAGCTGAAACCATCAGTGGGTCCCTTTTGTACGGACCACGATACATTCTGGTCCTTGAAAAGGAAGCTGGGGTGCTTCATCGTTCTAAACGATAGGGAGGGGGTGGCAGTGGAATAGTCGCTGGACAGAGATTGCTGCGTCAACAAGATGTTGTCCAGGTGCCAGCTCCAAGATAATCCAGTGTAAAAGCGAGGGGTGTATGGAACCCCTCTGAGTTCATGGAGCTTGTACTGCTCTAGGGATTTGAACGGCACTGTGTGGAACTCAAAAGCCTCCATAATCTTTCTCTGGAAGATATTCTTATAATCCATATAAAGATTCAGACTGAACTGAAATTCAAACAGCTGCTCTGGGAAGAGCATGGGGAAACGGATATTTTCTACAAAGCCTTCCATGGTTACATTAGTCTGATTCTGAGCCCAGTGGTCCAGAGCTCTCAAAAGTGACCATTCACTCTCAGTCACAAGTTCTGTACAGGATAGGAGAGCCTCCATCTTGTCTGGGGTCAGGGCCTTCCAGGCTTCAGTATGGGTCAAGGCATCAAAATTCCAGGCTAGGTACTGTAGGATGACATCTTGCAACTGGGCATCTCCACTGGCTAGGCTGTAATCATAAAGTTCCAGCTGAACACGAAAGGAGGGGTCCAGTGGAATGAGGGCAGGGAAGACCTGAGTGCAGTAAGCTCGCAAACGGGGCACATGGTAAACTGAAGCCAGCTTGTGGAAGCACTTTACTGAATCCACTGTGATGTTCAGCTGCCTTGTGTAGAAATACCTGAGTGGGTGGAAGGAAGCAGCAAGTGGAAATTGTTATTTAAACAGCTTAACTCTTTTTAAAATAAAGTTTGTTCTCAGGGTATTGATAGAAAAAAAGATTTAGGTTAAAATGACTGTGAGGCTTCGATTGGGGCTTCAACGGAAGTGTCTCTCCATTCCTCCTTAAGACTTGGTAAACATGACTTACTCTCAGGGTTCAAATCCTCAACATTTATTTCAGGTAAATAAAAACAACATTAACTTGAACTGTCAAATTCTCTTCCTCACGTAACGGGCTGAGGAAGGGGTTGTCTTGGTTCACAAACAGGTTGTCTACAAGGAAGCCCAATTGTCCATACCCAGGCTCTGGGTTAAAGTCTAATGTTAGTTTTGATGATAGTGGGACCAATGGCATCAGTTTCCTTCTTGGTGGCTTGAACTCTGGTGTTCCTGGGAAGCTGGGAAGCAGAATCTCCCATGATTCAGGTTCTCGCATCTCTCCATCCCAGCATGCTTCTGCCATCTGGCCTTCTCTTGCTTCTCTCTGGATATATTTGCCCTTTCTGAGATGGCACAGATGTATTGGCTAAATCTTTCTTCCCCACTCCCTCACTTGTTTCTCTCCCTAATAAGATGGCTTTTGAGGTACCACCTCACGCCTCTTCCTTTCAGCTTCCTCCCCGGGTACCATAAGCTGTTTCCACTTATTAGTCCAGAGATTCTCTAGTCAAATCAAATCCCATTCTGGGGGAAGGATCTTTCCTTTCCTTTTCTATCTACCCAGCTTCTACTACTCCTCTTCCTGATGCCTCCTCCTTACATATCCTCTTTTTCCCCTTCTTCTCTGTTCCCACCTTTTCTTACTGTCCTGTTACTTCCTTTACTCTTTCTCCCACCTTTACCTTTTCCTCTTCTACCCATTCTTTTCCGCAGCAGATATTGTCACCCTTCTTTCTACCCTGGACTTCCCAGCTTGAAGGTTTGTGGATTTCTCTTTTCTCTCGACTGGAATGGATGGCGCTCAGGCAGGGACATTATTGGACCTGCCGGATATCTCACAAGGACGTTTTACGAAATGCCATTTCCATGTTGTCCTGTTAGTATGATCTTAATGGAGTTTTCATTTGCATTATAATGATTCCAATAAACGGAGGCCATAGTATAGGAATATTTACACAAATCTGGAAGGTCACTCACACGTGCATGCATGTGCTACACTGAGTGACAAGATCACATGCATGTGTATAAAACAAACTTAAACACTAACCTGAACATATTACATGCATATACATTAAAGACCCAATAGGGTTTGTGATTTGGATTTCTTCTTAATGAAAGGAAGCTTTATGAGGCAGACGGAAGGTAGCTGTTTAAAACTTTTTCTGCTAGTTATGTTTCTGCTCAGAGTCACCCAGTCTGCATCTCTGTTTACAAGAGCAATTACAAGGGCATCTGGAATTCTGTAGGTAGAATAGTATTTGTGGAGCAGTTTGGGGTGGTTGAATAAAAACTCCAGTAATTTGCATTTGCATTAAAAATCTCTTTCTCAAGATTTAAGTAATGAAAAAAATGTTTTTAAATAGTGAGCTTGAAATAACCCTGGTTTTGCTGCTATATGCCATCAAGTTGCATCTGACTTACAGCACCCATAAAAGGGTGCTATAAGATATATGATATATTTAAAGAGTGATTTTACCATTGCCATTTCCCAGTAAACCTCCACGGCTGGAGAAGGATTTGAACCCTGGTCTCCTGGGTGCTCATTCATCATACATTCATCTCGAGGCTCTCCACGTGTTGATTGGGGCCAGGGATGGTATTGGGATCTTGCTGGGTTACCGTGCTCTCCGCGACCCAGCCATTTCCCTATCGGAGCTGGTGGACTTTGTCTCCGCGGCACTGTTGGGTTCCCCAAAGCAATTGGTTTTGGGGGATTTCAACGTGCATGTGGGGGCAGAGACCTCCGGGCCAGCTCTTGAGTTCTTGGAGCCCATGGCCTTCTTGAACATGTCCCAACATGTCAACGGCCCCACCCACGTGGGTGGCCACACACTTGACCTGGTTTTTTCCACTAATGGGAGCGAGAGTGGTCCGATGGTGACTGACCTTGAGTCGGTACCCTTGTCATGGTTGGATCATCACCTAATAAAATGCACCCTCAAAATGGCTCTCCCCCTCGCAGGGAGCCGGGACCTATTGTTATGGTCCGCCCTCGAAGGCTACTGGATCTGGCTGGATTCCAGGAAGCCATGAGGGGTTACGGCTGACCTGGATGGCGCTCCTGTTGAGGGTGTGGTTGACGGCTGGTTCGCAGCCGCAGCTAGGGCTGTAGACATGATCGCTCCTAAATGCCCTCTCCGCCGTAGAGACTGCCCGGCGCCCTGGTTTAACCAGGATCTCCGGGTGTTGAAGCAGGTCAGGAGATTGCTTAGCAGCCTTCACTGTGGCTTTTGTCAGGCTGTTGAAAGCAATTGGCGGCCAGGGAGAAAGGAGATCTTTCCATCTTTCGGACTGCTTTGTCAGATCACTGGCTCTGTTTCCTACTTTTTTGAACACAGTGAGTCGAGCAGAGATGTCCAGTGCTCCGTCTTGCCCGGTGATTCTTGACTCCTTTCAGCCTGTCACGCCTGACTCTGTGGCCAGGGTGCTTGATCGCTGTTGTGCCACCACCTCCTCCTTGGACCTTGCCCGGCCTGGCTAATCAAAACGGCCAGGCCTTCAACAACGGAATGGGCCACTGCTATAATTAATGGGTCTTTCCTTGAGGGCAGATTTCCATCTGCCCTGAAGGACACACTCATTAGGCCCATTAGGAAGAAACCTAGTTTGGCGGCGGACAAAATTGGCAACTATAGGCCCGTCGCCAACATTTCTTTCCTAAGCAAGGTGGTCGAGAGGGTGGTGGCCGATCAGCTCCAGGCACTCCTGGATGAAACAGATGCCCTGGATCCATTTCAGTCGGGCTTCAGGCTGTGCCATGGTACAGAGACGGCATTGGTCGTCCTGTGTGATGACCTACTGAGGGAGGCCGACAGGGGCAAAGTGTCTCTGCTGGTCCTCCTCGACAGAGTGGTCGAAATGACTAGATAAGTGGGGTATAAATACAATAAATAAATAAATAAAATAAATCTCAGCGGCCTTTGATGCCATTGACCACGGTATCCTCCTGGGGAGGCTCTCTGATTTGGGAATAGATGGCCTGGCATCCGTTCCTTCTTGGAGGACTGCCCCCAGAAAGTGCAGCTTGGGGAGAGTGTCTCAGCCCCGATGAGTCTCAATTGTGGGGTTCCTCAGGGGTCGATTATCTCCCTAATGCTGTTCAACATCTACATGAGGCCGCTGGGTGGGGTCATCAGGGGGTGTGGGGCCATGTGTCATCAGTATGCTGACGACACCCAGCTCTACATCTCCTTTTTACCAACCACAGGAGATGCCGTTCTGTCCCTTCAGCGCTGCCTGGGGACCGTACTGCAATGGATGCAGGAGAACGGGAGCAGGCTGAACCCGGACAAGACGGAGGTATTGAGGGTGGGTGCCCCACAGCTGGGGATTTGGGAACCCCCCTCTCTTTTGGGGGGGGTGACTCTGCCCACCAAGGATGGGGTCCGCAGCTTGGGGATCCATCTGGACCTGGCGCTCACTATGGAATCCCAGGAGGCGTCGGTGGTCCGCACCGACTTTTTTCAACTCAGGCCGAGGGAGGCCCGGAAGGAAAAGACAAGAAATCGGGTCTTCTCGGCGGTGGCTCCTCGCCTCTGAAACAATCTACCTCCTGAGATTCGCGGGGTTCCCTCGCTGGGTATCTTTAAGAATCAATTAAAGACATGGATGTTTCAGCAGGCCTTCCCATCAGATAACTCCTGACGCCCTTCTTTCCTCTCTTACTGTTTTTGCTTTGTGTATTGTGTAATGTAATGTATTGTTTTTATCACTTAGAACTGTTTATATACATTTTTATTGTATCATAATACTATCCACTTCTCTACACTGGTTCTCTGCTCTGGTTTTATTCTTCCTGAATTTATTTCCCCTGCCATCAAGAACCATGCTGCATAGAGAAGCTGGTTAGAGAACTGTATGTCCATCCATGAAGCACATATATACTGAATATAGAGGGAAGCCGGTTAGTAGAAAGACTGGGGCAAGGGTGGTTTCTGTCATGTTTACACAGAATCCACTTCTCTACACTGGTTCTCTGCTCTGGTTTTATTCTTCCTGAATTTATTTCCCCTGCCATCAAGAACCATGCTGCATAGAGAAGCTGGTTAGAGAACTGTATGTCCATCCATGAAGCACATATATACTGAATATAGAGGGAAGCCGGTTAGTAGAAAGACTGGGGCAAGGGTGGTTTCTGTCATGTTTACACAGACCTCGCTTAACAGCAGGTTGGAAAGTAGCCAACCATCTGCCATCCTTATTGAGATGCTTCCATTGCCTAAGCAAATGATTTGTTTCACATTACCAAATGAAGGAAGAAACATTGGATACAGAACAGTGTTCTCTCCTGCTTGGTTCAAAAACTGAGGCGGCCAACATATATCCAGGCCTAGTTCATGCCTTGGTGACCTTGAACATTAACTACAGCAATGCTCTGTCCATGGGGCTACCCTTGAAGGCAATGTGGAAGCAGAAACAGGTTCAAATTGTGGCAGCCAGGTTGGTTTCAGGTGCCTTAAGATGTGATCATATCTCCCTGACCCTGGCTTACTTGCATTGGCTGCCTGTAAGCTCCTGTGCCAAAATCAAGATCTTCATGTTGACATATAAAGCTCCTACCTTGAGGGAGGCCCAGAAAACCACAGCTAGGAGCTGAGCCTTCTCTGTGGTGGCTGCAACATTGTGGGATACCCTGCTGGGGGAGGTGCACCAAACCCTTTCCCTTCCAACCTTCAGAAAGCTGATAAAACCAGAGCTTTTCAGGGAGGCTGTTCAGAAAGCCTTCTCCCTGTAATAGACTTTTATGCTATTTTGTTTAATTGTTGTTGCTGTCAGCACTGGGGGATTTTCAGAATTGTTTGCTTCTTGGAAGTGGGTTTGAGTGTTTTAATATTTTGTAAAGCAGTCAGAGTGCTTGCCACTACATGTACTGTATATAAATGCAGTCAGTCAGTCAGTCAGTCAGTCAGTCAGTCAATCAATCAATCAATCAATCAACCTGTAGTTCAGTGCTAATGCACAAGTTTCATTGCAATGCAAATCAAAACACCGGTTGGACTTGCCATATGAATCTTCATGTTTTCTCACCTGAGAAAGTTGTTCACATTTGGCAAGCACTCCTCTTCCACCTGCAATATCCACGAATCATTACCCTTTTGGAGCAGAAAGCTAGCCTCGCTGCTGGCACGGAGAATCAGTCGATGTGCACACAATCTCTTGTATTCTGTGTTGTTTTCTGCCACCAGCACAATAATGTTGAGGTCACAGTCCTGCTGGCTGTCATATAATTTACTAAGGTCTTCAGAGAAACTTCCTGAGTGATCCAGAAGAAACTTTCCAGGATTAAAGTCAGGATCTGGAATGACACAAGCAAGAATATTTCAGGGACCAGAATAGAAAAAGGTTGACCATATGTTTTCAGCACAATGTGCTGTAACAAATAGGACAACTTCAAAAAGAGAAAGTTCTGTGGAACAATCAGTGTAGAGAAGTGACTTGATTTCCATATATAAGAGTATACAGAATTTGTCCTGGTTTTAGGTGTAGATTTGAAGAAGAATGCCTGAAAATTGGATGAGTGTGGGAAAAATCTGCAAGAATCACATAAGAGTTGAAATGGTAAGCAATTGTTTTGTCCTCGGCTGAGAAATCCTCCCCAGATGAAGACCCAAACCTAGAAGGCCAGGTGGCAACCCAGAACCCTCCAAGAGGATTATAGACTAGCTGCCAAGAGAGTCGGAGGGCCCAGGGCTGGAGTCTGAGGGGAAGACTAGAGATGGGCATGAACCACCAATCAGCAGTTTTGTGCCGTTTCTTTTTTTAGCCGAACATGTTTTTGTTGCTTCCTAGCCCTGCCTCCGCCGGTGGGCACCCACTCAGAGACAGTGCCCCAGCTTCCATGCCCTACCTCTTCTGGGTGCTGCTTCTGAGTTGGCACCTGCTGGTGGAAGCAGAGCTGGGAAGTGCTGAACACCAAGTCTAGAGGAGACAATTCCAAGATAGCAATACAAAATAACGGCACAAGTCAGGTTGGAGGCAACCCGGTGCAGTGCATGGGAGGGCTCCTTGGGAAAAGAGGCCTCCCTGTAAACTGGGCACTCCTTATGAGGAAGAGCCTGTGACAACCCCAGACCTACTGGGATATATCACAGTTTCACTAAGCTGCCACCAACCATTCCCTATAAGAAGTCACACAGACCAGGGATGGATTTTTAACCAATAAAGGAATAAGGTTTATTTAAATAACACACAGGGAAAATAAAATGATCAAGTGAATAAGATACAGTAACGTGGCTTAGTCTCAATCATACATACACCAGTTTGGTTCACACAGAACACCTTTCAATAAAGCACAGACCCTGAACCTATCAGTTCTGGCTAACCATACAGACACCTGAACCTATCAGGTTGGTACTGACTGACACACAGTAGTACCCTGTCTGACACACAGACTCCCACACCAGCTTCTTCTCTCAGCTCTCCTCCAGCTCTCCTTCAGCTCCACATATATATACAGTACAGCCCCTCTTCCTGATGTCCCGCCTTCCACTCCCCATAGGATGGAACTTTCCCTCCAAACCCATGACAGACAGGTAACATCAGTGCTGTATGTAACACACCTTGCCAATAAAAATATGCAAAGTCAAACCTATGGATTTTCCAGTAACGATGTATGGAAATGAGAGCTGCAGCATAAAGAAGGCTGACCGCCAAAGAATTGATGCTTTTGAATTGTGGTGCTGGAGGAGGCTCTCAAGAGTCCCCTGGACAGCAAGGAGAACAAACCTATCCATTCTAAAGGAAATCAACCCTGAGTGCTCACTGGAAGGACAGATCCTGAAGCTGAGGCTCCAATACTTTGGCCATCTCATGAGAAGAGAAGACTCCCTGGAAAAG